TATATTGAATGAGGTAACCTAGATCCAGAAACACAAACACCCCATGTCCTGTCTCATCTGCAACTCCTGGATCCAAATCCTCAGATGTGAGTGTCTAACATGGAGTAACCACAGAAACCAGGAACGTTTAAAGGGATCATGAGGAGATGAGGGTTGTTAAATGACAGGATCAGGTGAGATGAAGTGGGGAATGAAATAATGGGGGGGTGGGCTCCAACTGGGAAGAGGAGGAGAGATCAATACAGGAGGAGGAGGGGCAAATAACACCAAGGTTGTCTGATAAAGCCTTAAAGAATCATATTCTACATTTACCTAAAATTATACAATTATACACAATGCATATAAGCATATAAGATACATATACATATATCTTAAAGGAAGTTAAGCCACTTGGGCTGACAATGCACCCCACAAGAACTGTGTAGTAACAAAACTGCTTCCCATAAGAGCCACACATACAATAACAAAAGCCCCATTACCAGGTATAAGAAATCTCCTTTCGAAGTGTTAGTCGGGGTAGTCCAAATGACTTCCCAAACAATATAGGTCATAAGTGTAGACTTTGGACACCTCTCCGAGGTTGAGGGTAGGTCCCTATTGCTGAAGAAACCACACACATAAGACACAGGACTCAGCCCACTCAAGCTAGATCTGACCTAAAAGCCTTTTCCTTTCCCGTGATCTGGCATTCATGGTTTCAGAAAAATACTACGCCAAGGGAGGAAAACACTCTAACAATCCTACCCAGCTTCAAAACCTTTGAATGACAATATTGAATTGTCAATACCATGACAATGACCAGCATGGCTAGATAAGCATAAAGGTTCCAGAAGTGGCACTCACGTGTCAGTGAAAACCAACAGCTGTCTAGCTGGACTCAAGACCCACTCAGTAGGACAGAAATCATGCCAGGTAACAGAAACCTAACCAGCTTCTTGAGCCTTTGGAGAGAATCCACTGCTGCCTCTTTGCTAAACCAGAATAATTCCTTACTATATTCTAAGACTTATCCTTACACCCACAACAGAGTATAGCTACCACCCCTCATCAAGGAAGCTGCTCTTCACAGCCAATGGAAACGATCGCAGGAATCCACAACTAGACACGATGTAGAGATCAGTGGATTGGAAGGAAGATACATCTACGGTACAGAAAGATTGATGCCCTCTGCTGCAATACTAAGAAGAGATGGACCTTTAAGAGGTGGGGCCTAATGGAAAGCAACTGTGTCACTGGAGCCCCTCCCCTTGGAAGGAATTATGGCTGAGCTCTCAGAGTAAGTGTTCACAAGTGAAGATCATGAGCATGAATATAGAATTTCTATCTGCTTCCTGTCTCACCAAATGATCTCTCCCTCTTGAGTACACTCCTGCCATTGAGAGGCCATCTGCTACAAGACCTTCCTAGATGACTGATTTGAAGTGGCCATCTGATTTGGGACTCATAGATTCCCAAACTGCAAGCCAATAACCTCTTTGCTTTATACAATACCTAGTCTTCAATATTTGGTTATGACAACAAAAAAATAGACTTACTTAACCCTTACCTTTCTTCTCCCTGGATTTCACTTCATCCTAAGGATGAAACTGGTTCCCACATGACACTGAGATAAGCCATGGGGTAGGTGGGTATCCCATGTACTAATTGTCTTTTCATGCCACTCTGAACCAAGCTGTACTGTTTTTCTGCCCTTGATCTTCAGGGTATCTCCTAAGTGACAAATTCCAAAATACCTAAGTTACTAAGATCTACCCATCAATTCACACTAGGGCTTCTGAGGTACCCATCTGTATCATCTCTTCTGGTCCAACAGCCTCAGTTCCTTTATCTCACAAAGGTGAACATTTAAAAGTTCAGGATGTTGCTCCTCACTTGCCAGGTTATCAAGTCTCTTTCTGCCTAGGCAGGTCCCCTACTCCAAGCCTACCAATTTCTACTCTTCTGAAGCTAAGGCTGCCTGGCTCAGGGATGTCAGTGAGGTATACTACCTCCACAGAGTCTAGCTGGGAACTATGACTCCTTCATCAGTCTTCAAGGCCCATGCCAGGAGGCCCTCAGTGAAACACAGTTCTCAGATAGCAATCTCACACCAAGAACAAGAGGATTCTTCTTCCCACACGCTATATGATCTTTACCCTGTCTATGTGGTTCCAACAGATTACAAGCCTGGGTGTACAAGGTTTAGGACACAAACCTGAAGCCAGGAGTATTGGACTCATTCTTGGTGACTTTCCAACGAGAATCTCTATCACAAACAGTAAGTATGTCTACTGTAAAACTTGGAGGCTAAACACTAACTTTTGACCTGTAATCACACATGCTGCCTGAAGACTGGAGATAGTGGAGGAATGGTCAGACATATACAGATAAGAAAAGGAAATATGTTAATTCTTCATAATGTTAAATACTATATTGTGTGTTTGAGCATAGGGAATAAGAAACATGATTTACAAGTGGAATGATGTAATAATACCTTATAGACTTTGTACAGTATTAGTTCTTCACTGAGCAGTATATCTTTGGGTCACTGGGATAATCTATCCATTGTTAAGAGCTGAAAATCATTCTATAGTATTATTGGGTATCTAATCACCTGTTTAAAAAATGGAGGCATTGTTTCCAATCTTTGACTCTTTAGTGCTGTAGAGAACACCCGTGTGTGACTCTCTTGCTTATTTGATCGACTTTTGCTGAGGACAAATGTTTAGAGATGGAATTGTTCTATCAAGGGATATTGGCAAATTGCAACCAGCAATAAATTATGTGTGAGAATTTTATAGATAACAAAACTAGAATAACAATCCAATGGGGAAATTATACATTGTCCAATAACTAAATTTAATAAAGAATTCCAGGATAAATAAATTTTATATAAGGTGCATTACATATGAAAAAAATCAATATCAGGCTAAAGCTTTAAATGGTATGGTTTGGTTCCCAGCACCCATGCTGGGTGGCTCACAACTCCTATAACTCCATCTCCAGGGGGTCCAACGTCTCTGGGCTTCTTGTGCACTGGCATTCATGTGTATATACTCACATGCAAACACATACACATAATTAAAAATGTTTTTTAATTAATTCTGTGGGGAGCCAGACTGGCCCAAGACTTTCTTAGAAAGGACAAAGGGGACTTTAGTTCTGTGTCCTTGTCCAGAAAGAGACATGACAAGGCCTGACTGACACCAGAGCCAGTGCCTCATAGGAGTCTAGGTTCCAGTTTCTGGGGACCTAACTCTTCCCTCTGGGCTATCAGTCCTCAGGCAGCTGTGTCTGTGTGTCCTGTGTTCTCCTTGCCAGCATTGTCTGACAGAGCTCTCGAATGACCTTGGCAGTTTTCCCCCTGCAAACAGTCTAGATGATGCTGTAATAAACTTGCTAGGCATAAGTCATCAGCTTATGCAAGCTCTCCTGGTCCCAGCTCTGATTTTGTCTCCTTTATTCCTCATCTTTATTTTTCATCCCCTGTCCTCCCAGTTGATAATTCACCATTCAGGAAGGACCCTTATTCTTCCAGACTTGGGCCATAATTCATTTTTTTAAAGCTCTAAAGGAAAAATAAAATAGCCATGCTCTAAGCAACCAACCCATCTACCCAGTTACTGTGCCAAGGAAACAAAAGTGCCCGACATGGTACAATAACCCAATGTATGCAGTGGCATGCATACCTTGAGGATAACCAACAGCTCCCTGATTGGACTTAAGACCCACTCAAGAAGAGGGAAAACATGCCTGGTACTGGAAATTCAACCAACTACCATAGCTAGTGAAGTCATGGTAAATCCCCATAAACCCTAACTACATTCTACGTATTTATCCTTATACCTACACAAGTGTAGTCCTAGGCTCTCATCAAGGAAACTACTCTTTGCAACAGAGAAAGCCCATTATACAAAGCCACAGCCAACTGAAATGAGAGTTGTGAAATCCAGTACCAGTGGCTATATCTACAATACAACTCATGCACCTGAGGCTCCAAGTTCATTGCTGCAGGAGTGAAGAGATTGTCAGACCAGAGGAACAAGAAGTTTGCTGTGAGATGCTGTCTCCTGGGAATGCTGGAATACAACATGGAATCCCACCAACATAACAACCTAAACACGAGCTGAATGAGGAAAACCACAATAGACATTTTCCAGTATCTAAAGACATATGTCTTCCATTATTAAAAAATTCAATTTAATTTTAAAAAGCTTTCTTAAAATAGTATATAATCATTTGTGATGCTGTAGCTTAAAATACTGGTTTAAGTTTTTGATTATTTTAATACTTGATCCCAATCTTTACCATGGCAGAAAGAAGCAACTCTGTTCCAGGTCTCCATATTAAAGAGGTTCTTTGGTCATATGACTTTCTCAATCTTAAACACCATAGAATTTCACAAAGATGGTGTGTACATTTCCTTCTTTCCAAACATTAGAAGCAAAGGCTCCTAAGCATACTAAAAGGTCATGTGTTTACAGAGTCATCTCAAAGCACACTGAAATGAATTATTTTGGAAGTTTCTTATACAGGGGGGTAGAAAATTCTGCTCTGCAGGTCTGGAATTTTGGTAGTGTTAATGAACACCTTGAAACACAGCAAACTTGTCAGTGTGGAAGTTTTTAATATACAGGTTAAAAATTCTACCTCCCAGGAAGTTCTTTTTACTATGCGAATATGAAGGTTTGAAATAATTAGTACTCTTGAGTGACACATACTGTTTTCAGCAATAACCAAATAACAACAGAAATATTTCCAAATACATATCTCTGAAATGCTTTCTCAGAACAAGCTTCTTTTACAAAGCTATTACTCCTCCAATATTGTTATAACATTGGTGGGGCAGATTCATACATTTAATTAAAAGAAATCTGCCTCGGAGTTCTCCAGTGGCATAGTCTTATCACTACAAGGGTCAGCAAACTTGAAATGACTTTTTATGAAAGCAAAGTATCTTAGCTTCAAGGTTTTTAAAGTATTCTGTCACAGACCTTCAGTGAAACACGGGGGATCTGGCACACTCTTCTGGCTTCTGTGGTCACTGCGGTCACATGCACAAATCCAAACATAAACACACACGTAATTTTTAAAAATACTTCAATCTTTTATTAAGTTATTGAGTTGTACCAGGGGCACTGAACAGGCTGCTCTGCAGGGTGTCATAGACCAGTTCTACTCGACAAGTGTTGGCATTTTTCTACAGGAAGGCACATGAGCAGGGACAGACACATGTGTTGACATCACAGAATTTTCTTAAAATTCTTAGTAAATAATCTGAGAAGAAACTGAAGTTGCAGCAAAAGGAGAAAGCTCTGCCATGACATCAGCTCTTCTTCCCAAAACGGAAAGAAAAGAGTTTCGAGAATGCAAACATACTACTAAAAAGCCTCATTCTAACTAGAAATTTGTTTTAAAAAGTACCTTGGGGCTGTTACAAAAGAATTCCAAGTGTTGATTAGCACTGAAGCTAGTGTGCCACCTTCTAAGCGGGCTGCTAAGCTGAAGAAAATTCAGGAAATGATGGTGTTTTTGTGGATTAAGGAGAGCCTGAATAGAAAAAATGGAAGTTGTCTCAATCCAATGCGGTGCACTTAGGACAATAAAAGTAATAAGGGCAAGTAGAAGTAGTATGAAACGATGCTTTAAGCTCCCATAGGAAACAGTAACTAGAGAGTCCTGAAACCATGCGGGGAGGACAGTCGGGTCTGGGCAGAGGAGCAAAGGATGTGTCCCTCCTGGGAAGAGAACTGCTGCTCCCAGGAGGGGGCTGTTGCAGGTGCAGGGGTGGGGCGGAGCGGGGAGACCAAGCCTTCCTTCACATCACAGCAGTCTCAGAGCGGGGAGACCAAGCCTTCCTTCACATCACAGCAGTCTCAGAGCGGGGAGACCAAGCCTTCCTTCACATCACAGCTGTCTGTTGAACTGCTGTGAAAACAGTGGCTCTCGTTAACATGTGTGTAATTTTCGATTAAGTTTTCATTGAAAACTTTCTATCCTCAACCTCACTTCTGGAAAGCATTTGCTTTCAACTGCACACCGTGGGCATCCCTCCAGGTGGCTTCTATACACTGTATAAGTATCTAAACATAAATTCAACAGAAACAGGATCATAGCCCTAATGATATTATATAATGTGCCTCTTCATTATCAGGAAGCAGAAGACCATGGACATCCTTTGTATGCATGGGTCCAACTCAGTCTTTTGGAAGCTGCATTGCATTCTGTTTTATGGGCAATGTTAAATTATTTCTCCAGTTCCCCATACATTTTCATTTGCCCTGCTTCCACTGTTTTCCTATTTACAGATGGAGCTGCCAAGGGGCTCTTGCTCTGGTGAGCACAATCTTTCCATCAAACCCTCTGCTTCTACCCAGCACTTCTGGGTACCACTTCTGTGGCTCTGTACAGATTATTTAACCTTCCTCAAACTCAGTGCCTTCATTTTTAATTGGAAATCATCTCGACTCTATAGAGTGTGCTGGTTGCCTTTTGTCAACTTGACACAAAACCTAGACGTACCTGGGAAGAGGGATTCTTAATTGAGAAAATGCCTTCTAAAGATTGACCTGCAGTCAGGTCCCTGGGGTACTGTCTTGATTAGTGATGGATATAGGAGGGTCCTTCTCATGAGGCAGTAGCACGCCCCTAGGCAAGTGGTCCTGAGTTACATTAGAAAGCAGTGTTCCTCCACAGTCTCTGCTTCAGCTCCTTCCTCCAGGTTTCCTGCCTTGAGTCCTGACCTTACTTCCCACAGTAATGGAGTATAATAAATTCTTTCCTCCCCCAGTTGCTTTAGGCCGTGGTGTTTTATCACAGCGATAGTAACCCTACCTATGGCATAGGAATAGTTGTAAATTAAGTAGGTTCACATTGATGAGTGAAATGAAATGAACAGGCCTTCTCCCTCCCTCCCCCTTCCCTTCCTCTCCCCTTCTCTCTCTCTCTGTAGATAAAGACAGAGGGGCAGGGGTACAAAAGACCAGCAGAAGTTACTCTCCTCTCACAGAGAATAGAAGGAATTTTATAAATTGGTGATCAATAACGAAGCGCTTTCTTCTCTGACTCACAGAAGCAGGAAGCAGACCAAAGCACAGAGGCACAGGAGCCCCACAGGGCAGACCTCAGGTGGGTCGTGAACAAGCCATGGAGAAGATGCTCGTCTTTTGGACCTGAGGATATGTGACTCGGGAATGAAAGTGACGATAGCATTGAGAGATGGCATCCCAGTCATCCTAAAAGCAAATGTGTGAGAGGGCAAAAATTCAACACGAGGTCAGATGAATCCCAGACTTAATCAGACAGGGTAAGAAATACCCAGAGCTCCTTACCTGAGACTCCTACAAACAAGAAGACTTCAGATGATGGAGCTCTCGGGACCCAAGATAGGAGCAGAGAAGACAAAGACATCAAAAGGTCCAGGAGATAACCAAGTACTTCAAAGGAGGAACACAGCCCTGCAGCCACCTGCGCTTCGTCCTTGATATCAATCAGTTTTCGGATCCAGTGAACTTTATGCTCCCACCAAGTTTCCTCCAGATGATCGACCCAAGCCTCGCTGCTGATTATGCCAGGCCTGTCCTCTTCTACAGCTCACAAGATAGAGTCCAGGATTCTGGCCTGGTATTCAGAGTCTTCTCAACTCCCATCCCAGATTAACTAGTATTGCTGCTCCCCCCCCACACACACACACACACACACACTTTCACCAGAGGATATTGCTCCCTCTAGAGTCCTCTACCATGTGGGAGACACCCATCTGCAGTTGGAGGCCTGCCTGGTGCTACTGTCCCATGGGGAAAGAATATGGCATGACCTCATCCAGCTCTGGTCAGCCATTCCTCACAGAAGATTCCGCTCTGCACTGAAATGGTTACTGTAACATTCCCTCCCTCCTTTCAGTGATGGGAGCAAACGCTGTGAGCCCAGCCTCAGCAGGACCAAACTGAACCTTTCTCAAAGAGGTGATAGATGAATGCAGGAACAGACTTGGTTCACCTCCTTGGACTAGGGCTGCCAGCCGCCACCCTGCCTGCCCTTCATGAAAAGAACCAGCCTCTGCGGTCCATAAGAACGGAGTGGGAGAGTCCGGTGGACTCCAGATGCATGTTTGTTGAATGAATAAATTAATGTAACAAGAGAGAATCAGATCAACAAGCAAGCAAAGGACAAGGGGGTGGGGAGGCAGCCAAACATGAACGCAACCTTGGTTCCTCTGACTCACAGTGTTCATCCCTATCTGCACTTCCCGTCCGCACTTCTCTCTCTGTGCTGGCTTCAGTCAGAACCTTTCCCTCTCAGGTGCGACAGCTCGGACCTCCCCATAGTTACTTCCCATGCTGCTTTGCCCATGTGGTCTTCCCAGATGCTACAGGCTCAGCTCCCCCCACCACAGCCTTCATAATCCTCCCGGCCCCGGCACACTGTCTCACCACTGCTAACAACAGTGTGTCACGTTTTCCACCTTCATTTAAAGCTACTTATTCACACAGCTGCAGCAGATACTAGGCAGATCCCAGAGCCCCTTTCTCTGGTGGCTTAAAGACTCATCCCTACAGCCCTCCTCTGAGCAAAGGGGAGCCCAGAGGTGCCTGGGAGTTGCCCCCAGCACTTCGACCCCAGCGGAAGGCTGAGGAACAGCACTGATCTCTCTCCTTAAGTCAGCGTGGGGAGCTCACCTCTCCCCTCCCCATCGCCCTCAGTCCCCTTTTTATGAGTTTCCTGTTCATGAATCTACACCCCAGAGATGCCATCTAAGGTCACTGACGACAGCCCTTCTTCCCATCATGCCGTCTAAGGTCACGGACAGCCCTTCTTCCCATCATGCCGTCTAAGGTCACTGACGACAGCCCTTCTTCCCATCATGCCGTCTAAGGTCACGGACAGCCCTTCTTCCCATCATGCCGTCTAAGGTCACGGACAGCCCTTCTTCCCATCATGCCATCTAAGGTCACTGATGACAGCCCTTCTTCCCATCATGCCATCTAAGGTCACTGACGACAGCCCTTCTTCCCATCATGCCATCTAAGGTCACTGATGACAGCCCTTCTTCCCATCATGCCATCTAAGGTCACTGATGACAGCCCTTCTTCCCATCATGCCGTCTAAGGTCATGGACAGCCCTTCTTCCCATCATGCCTCTTAAATGCCCGCTGTAGATCTGCTCCTCTCCGGTCTCCTGTAGCACAGAGCACTATGGGAGAAGCATCATGTAAGGAAAAAGAAAAAAACAAAACAAACAAACAAGAACAGGTGGGACAGAATGGAGAAGAAACAGTGCTGGAGGGAGGCTGAGTTTCAGTAAGCCAGGAGCAGCCAGACTGAGGACATTTCTAGACTACATTAGCACTTTTAAACATTACAGGGAACAACAGAAAGGGCCTATTATTTTTAGCTATTTCCAGAAGAAAACTTGGACACGGATATTTACGGTTTTGGAAATTCATCTCTTCTTTTACTGATCCTCTTCAGTATTGGCTAAATTTCTCGACTCATCCATGAGGAAATAAGCGTTTAGACATCCATAGTCACACTAAAGCAAAGCCAGTGAGGAGTCTATCTGGTGAGGATCTTTACTTTCTCCAAACCTTGGCTCCCTCTGTGGATAAAGCTTTCCACCAAGAGATACCCACCAAGAGATACACAGAAACACAGAGAGAGAAAGAACTGGGGAAAAGACAAAGAGAGACTGAGAAAGAAGAGAAAAGAAAAAAAAACCCTGTAAATTGAATTATCCCCCCTCCTCTCTCATGCACTTCTCTGGGCTATCACCCTGGGAGAACTGTTAGTTGGGGGCGGGGGGGGGGGGGGTGGTGGACATTTTGTGAAGGGAATCTTCTAGATTATGTGTAATGAATAAAGGTGTCCACCCCGTACTGAAGGTAACCGAGCTTTCCAGCACCACGCTGCACACCCCTCCCCTTGCTTGCAGGCCTGAGGGCTGTGTTAGCCTGCTAACAGTCCCTCCGCGCGCCTCCCGAGCATGCATGAAGGCACAGACCAAACTCTTCCAGGATAACGCATGTGCCCTGTCGCACACCCTCGGCAGAAACATCACACTGTCTGGTTTTAATATTCATCGGCTGCTTCTCCATCCAGAGCTCCTAATTCGCAGTGTGGGACAATGTTTTCCTATTAAGCATTTTCCCCTAAGCCTCATTACCTCTCTGTGGTAGAAAATCACTGCGGTGCTTTGGCTGCCTTAGCTGGAGAGGAAATTAATTTACAAAAGAGGGCAAAATAATCTCCAAATAACAAATCCTTCGAAACTTGGAATCAGGCACTTCATAATCAAGTCAGATGCAAACGGAGACCGTGACCATGTGACAGTTTACAGGTGCCTCCGCAACTGACCTGAAATGTAGCCAGCGAGCGAGCGTACAACACAGAGGAGGGAAGGAAGCCAGCGGGAGGCACTGACCAGGAGGAACACGCCAGGAAAGGCCGGGGTGGGGGCGGGCGGCACCGGGTAGGATAAATACTGGAGTAGCCTCTCAGGGCAGGAAGATGCTTACAGAAAAGGATGTGGACGTTAATCTGAAATCCAACAGAAAGGACTTACCACAGCTTCCATGTGAGCCAGCAGCTGCCAGTTACTGCCTGGGATAGACAAGCCCAGTGATTCTAAACTTCAATCTCCTCATCTTGTGCTCTACTTAATGGGTTGAGAGTAACTTGCAGCGATGAGACATCTCCAGAAATTAGGTCTCCGTGAAAGCATGAATCATAAATATGGGGAAATACAAATGGCTCTTTTATCAGCACTCTAAGTAGGAAGAAAAACCTTCCTAGCTCCTTTATTACAATGGAGTCAACTCAAGACACACACAGTTGGCCCTCGGTATATTTGAGAAACCTGTTCTCGAATCTAATGTTACCATGTCCTGCAGTTCCTCAAGAACTGCATGCTCTAGAACCAACAAGAAATAGCATATACCTTTTGATATTCACAAGCTGCTGGTCATAGTAGTTATATGATACTGATAAAAACTGTAAAGGTATGAACCCAAAAACACAAGCGATGTAATCCAGAGTATTCAGTCAATCCCTCTGACAGCCAACCACCCAAGCTGTTGCAAAAGCTAAAGGAAAGGATGGAGATGAAGCCTCAAACCCAGTGCAGACACTCACAGTTTTGTTGTCTCCTTTTCTAATACAAACTCTGAGAATGGCCAAGAGGACTGGCTTCTACAGAGACAAGTACATGAAATGGCTGTAACAGCTCCCAGTCCTGCATCACCTTGTACAGTAGAGGTATCAATAGACCACCACGCCCTCAGTGACTCCTATTGCCTGGGTTGAAGAAAAGACTCCATCTCCCTGTCCCTTGACTAGTACAAGGAGGAACTTATTCACCCACAGGAGTGGGGACAAAAAGCCTCAACTGCCCTTGCAAGAGCCCTGGCACACAGTGATGAATGGTCAGCACCAAAGTGGGGAACGTCTACCCATGAGCCAACAAGGTATGCAGAGCCCGCACCCAGATTGCCAAGTTACAGCCATGACAGATAATGGCGGGAGCACTGGGAACCTGTATGAAAGACCTGCTTTGGGAGGCAGGCTACTGTAATCAGTGGTGAAGGGTCTCACCGGTCCCTGCGCTGGAGGATATGTGCCTTCAAAGCAGGGACATCAAGGAACGCTCAAGTTTCCTGATTTCTACATGAAAATACTGAGAATCGTTAGAGAGAGAAGTTTAACTCCAAGTTCCTGGATTTGCCTGGGATAAACAGCAAGAAAACTCTGGCCAGCCACTGGCAGGTCCCACTGAGACCCAAATGTCTACCTGGATAACACAGTGGCACTGCTGGGCTGCTTTTCATCCAGGACTCACTTGTCTGGCCAGCAGCCTCCTGATCATCCTCCATGACCGATGCCATGCCACTGTCTGCCAAAGGCAGAGTGAAGGGCACAGCCCTGTGGCGGGATTCCTCCTTCTGACCCTAAGCACCAAGCCTTTTCCCAGCTGAGCCTCCACAAGAGGAGAGACAGCCACTGACATCCTCAGCCCTCCCTCACAATCAGGAAGAAGGTCAGGTGTGAAATGAAGAGCAGATTCTGGTGAGACAAACGAGCTGGGTCACCTCCGGGCACCCTGCGAAATGGAGTCTCAGGTCCTCACAGTGGAGGACTACAGTCCTGGTGCAGTATCTCTGGGTACATGACACTCAAGCCACTGTATGGCTTCACTCACTAGCCTCTTTCTCTCAATAACCATTAGACCCATGCTTTATTATCCAAAGGAGCAGCCTCATTTTAATTTTAATGTAAACAATTTCCTGAATCAGAGTATAAGCCACTGGTCCCCAGTGACCTGCCTTGGCTGGGCCAGCCCTGGTTCTGGAGACCCAGAGGAAATCTCTCACCATAGAGCATTATGGAACTTATAGGTGTTAGCTGGATGAATCAAATACCTTCCAAAACAATTCCTATTTCACCCAGTCCTTACCAGCCCAAACCTCCCCAACATTCTTCCATGGAAACTTCTAAGCTGCTGATGTTCAAAGTTCATGAGGATATTTCCATCTTCAAAGAGATGAGTTACATAAATGTCATGTCTTAAAAAATATAAAATAGATGCTAAGGATTTCTGTTTTCAAATGAGGGCAGGTAGGGATTAAGTGCAGTGCTGACCCTGGGGAAGCATCTTAGCCTGCTTTGGGCTCACTCATGTGGTCTGATTATGCTAAGCTTCCCAAGGACTCAGTGGTAGCACAAGATCAACCCCTTAACAGCACAGTGTTCAACAAATGCTAAGCAAAGTATATTCACTGAGATTTCAGCTGAAAACGCCCTCTCCTCCGTGAGGTGCTCAGTGTGTGAGGAGGTAGGGTGGGAAATGCCAGCCTGAAACCCTTCCAGCCTGAAGCTTCCACCACTGGGTTCTTCCACTTAAGCAATAGAAATCCATTCTAACTACAATCAGAAAATAATTGGGAGGAATCTGGGAATTCATAGAATTGCTGTCAAAAGCTAGAAAATGAAGCTGGAATGGGAAGTAGCTCCAGGGCTCTTAGAGAAAAAAAAAAAAAAAAAAAAAAACCCCACACACACGAAATAGCTGTGAGGCAGGAAGAATATGGCCACACTTTCTCCCCCTACTCCACCGATGGATAAGTTCCAGCCCAGTCCTAGGTTCTCAAATCTGCACAGTATCAGAGAGAGCTCAGGCCAGGTTTGCTGAGGCTTCTGGTTGCCTGGCTGCTATAGGCAGGAGAATGTCCCGCTTGTATTCTGTAAATGGGAATGAACACATTTACACACACACACACACACACACACACACACACACCAGACCGCAGGAACAAATGGGAGTTCTCCCAGAACACAACAGGGAGCATCTGGAAGGAGGAAAGGTTCGATTTATTCCCTGGTGAAAATAACATAAGGGCATCTCAGCACCCGGAGTGCCCTGACACTCGGATACCACTCAGAAGATTCCAATTCCTAGCTGTGGTTGGTACCCATTCCCCCATGGCTGCTGCTTTGGTTCCCCACTCCTGAACCATCCTGAAGATGAGCCCACTTGTCCAGCTGACCCTCTGTCAGTGAGAGGGAGAGCTGAGACTGAGAAAAGGAAATGGGTCAAGATATCTGTCTGTCTTGTGATCAAGATAACTGGCCACTTGATGATGTCACTTTGCAAATCTGTCACCTGTGCCAGAGAACCCAGCTCAAAACAGGGACCTCCCCTACCTAACTAAAACAGGAAGGAAACTTGTAAAATGACTAAAGGAGGCTTAAAAAAAAAATGGAGCTCGGGGACAGCAAAA